AAACTTTTCTCATTTCCTCCCAGCGGCAACCTCCAAGTCTTCAAATTCTCAATTTTATCAATCCCATTTCCTTTATTTTCGCTCTGAATTCAATTCTATCCTCAATTCAGCGCGCATTAAGTCACCGTCAAGTCAGATCGAGTCTCGGCAACGTTAAAAGAACGAGAGAAAAGTTGATCGCGAGAAAATAACAGCGGAAAAACTAGAAACACTTGGTCGCGGCGCGCCGCGACGTTTCAATAATACCCACGAGAATGTTGTTCCCATCGCTGAGCAAACCTGTTCCCTTTTAACTTCCCCGAGTTAAGCGGAGACAAGGATTTCATTTACAAAAGCGAGATTCATCTGCCATTAGGCTCCTGATGATAGCGGTAAAGGTCTAATAAAGCGATACAACAGGAAACTAGAAACATTTGGTCGACCGAGTTACCGTTCGTTCGCATCGGCTCAAGGAAATCGCGAAGAAAGCAATATAAAAGGCAGGCTCTTCTTCTTCTTCTTCTTTGTAGACTCCTCCTATTCTATAACTTTATTTACGCGATCATCGTTACAACGATCCAACGATATTACGGATATTACGCTGGAAAAACGAACGGAACGAGTGCAAGACATAAACATTTTACTCGACGACTGACTGAAACATCTCTCGGCTTCTATCTTTCTTCCATCTACTTTTATCAAATTAATAATATTACTCTGATTTTTTAATTTAACTTCGGTGTGATATTTGTATACAGGGTGTTCAAGTTTGTGCAATTAAGCTTTGTCAGTATTTTCAGAATAATGTCGTTTGAAGCTTTGTTAAAAAGTTGTAACAGAAATATGAAGGGAATGCTAAGAAATTTGTGATTACTACGATACGAGACAAAAGTGTATTCAAGATTTTGCATAATTGCCTGTTAATAGTAATGCAATAATCCGTTACCATGATTGTTATAAAATTTTGCGGATTTTTGTGTATTTGCAAAAAATTTAAAGGTACAAAATTGCACAGTATGCAGGTAATAAGAAAAAAACATGGATTACAGTGCTTTTTATAATACCTAGCATGTTTAATAATTTTCTACCGAAGTTCTACTACTTTTGCTATATAAGTTTGCATAAAAATCCGCAGTCTTAAGAAATCTTCAAAAATCCCATGTTTATGCAACAATTTTCTTTCACACACCCATAGAAAATTAACAAAGTTTCGTTGGAAAAAATTGAGACACTTTGTATAATTATACACAATTTATTCGATTTCGAAATGAATTCCATCGTATTAAATTCACACAACTGGTTCAAAGCCACCAAGTTTCTATCGCGAGCTGCCAGAAAAATGTCAAAAGTTCCTCAACAATGACAGAAATTACCTCTAAGATTGATCTCTTTTCATTATTTTCATATAAATCTTCAATTGCACCCAAAAATAAAAACAAATTCACTTCTCCATCTAAGCGGTCCTTCCAACAGTACCGCAAACCACTCTAAAACTACACTCTACCTCCAATTAAAGGTGTTCTCCTAACACCTGTTCCACAAACATTTCGGAAAAATAGCCCTCGTTCCATGTGACACGCGCACGGGAAAAAACACGGCAAGGTAAACCAAGTGTAATTCGTTTCGATGACTCGATCAGAGGCTATCTCTGATCTCTCGTCATCGTTATCGAAGCAAAACGATCACCGATACGCGGCTTTCAGAATAGGGCGGCCGCAGTGAATCGGCAGCAGATGGCCGATATCGACGTTAGCAAATTGTAAATTAACGTGACATCGCTCGACCCTTGTACACCCAGTGACAAGCTCACGGTCAAGTTTGCCAATAAGAGACGCCAAGTGTCCTCCTGTATATCCCACCTCTCTTTTCTTTCCCCGCCATCCAACATTTTTCCACAAAAGTGCACCGACCACTTGTCCACGAGCAAACTTGCTGTCACATAATCAAGAAAGTTTCTCGTTTGTTAAGTTATAAAGACCACCCCGGAGCAGGAAGATCGGCGAAACGAGGAAAGCTGAGGCGGCCAAGTATGAAGGATGTGTGACGGACGTAAGTCTTTTCGTTGTGAATCGTGTTTGAAATAGATTTTCTTGAAACTCTGAGATGAAGGTTTTTTTTTCAAGAACGATGAGAAGGTTGTCGTGGTTTTCCAAGTTTCTTTGACCCATTCGAGGCGAAAAGACCAATGACACACCGTGTGCTTCATGATCGTAGATTCATAGTAAGTTGTTACCGAAGTAATCGTGGAAAGAAGGTGGTTTTTGAAGAAAATCAAAGTTAAAGCTCTGTAGACACTGAAACCTGCATTGGTTTCAACCCAGGACCACAAAGTGAGTGTAGAAAAATGTCCGCAATGTCAATTTTTCACTTCCCAAACACCTTTTCTTCTCTCAATTTTCGATACAAGGGGAAACAGAATTTCAACAGATTTTCGAAAAATCGCTCTCCTCGAGTGGGTTAAATCACGCGCTCTAAAAACCTGTCCAAGTTCAAACAAACTACGCGCTGAAAAAGAAAGAGAAGAAAAAAATGTCAATTTTTGTTTTTCACATTTACAATACTCTCGCAAAAACGAAGGTATCAATTAAATCCCGTAATTTAATTTTCACATGAAATGTCATCTCTAAAAAAAAAGCGTCAAATCGATACACGAGCGCAGAGTACATACATACATTCACCTGTAAAAAAAGATACAGCAAATGTGACACTTTCTACGCGGATAATACATTTTTCCAAATAATTCCTTCTCCCACGGTGGCGATTAAAGGGCTTAATTTCATTCGTTACTCGCTCGAACATACATATCCACGGTTTCGAAGAACGGATCAAGTAAAATACTGCAGAAAATCGGACTAACAAACGATGAAAATGCTTGTATGGAGGTACGATATAAATGCGCAAACAGCATATGGTTCGCGTCAATCTCTCAACCATCGGAATTTCTCCAGCTCGTCATTTCATTCCCGTCCCTATCTCTCTCTCTCTCTCTCTCTTCCCTCCTCTCGGTGCTCATCCCCTCGCCAACCATATCCACCTTTCATCCCCCTTCACGTCTGTACACCGATAACCCCTGATAATAGCCGACTACTACTCAACCTGCACACAACTACTTTCACAAACGGACCGGACCGCCGCGCATTCCTCCGTCTTTTTCCAATATTTCCGCGTAACAACATGTCGAGGATCGGCGGGGGTAAAAAAAAAAAAAGGGATAAATAAAAGAAATCGATACGCGTGAGATTGATAAAATGGATTAATTGGAGAATAATACTTTGGGGGCGCGTATCGATATATCCCGGTAGATTCGCGAGTTCTCTCATAGTGACAGGGGTGCGGTGTGCATTTGCTAGGCATGAAAGACGATATTCGCGCGGGGATCGTTTTGATGATTAGCGAGTGAAAGATTTTTCACCGCGATCCACGGGACCTTCGAGAGTTTCGATAACGAAGTTTCGCGGTTTTTCTGGGTAAATGAGTTTCGGTGCTTTGAGAATTTTCGGGGGAGTTTTTGTTCATTCGGGAATTAGAGAAGGTTGTACTAAGTTTACGGTGGTTCTGTATAATTTTTTTTTCGCGAAGAAAGGAACGTGGTATTATGTCATTGCCTGCTTCGCGTATATTTTGCAAAAACCTGGAAAATTCGAATTTTTCTCAGGTTTGTTTCATATTATGTCATTGCCTATTTCGCCTCTATTGTGCAAAATTTAAACAAGAGGAAGATTCGAATTTTTCTTAGGTGATTTTTAACGAAGAAAGGAGAAACGCGGTGTTATGTCATCGCCCACGTCACCTCTATTCTGCAAAAATGAAATAAGGTGACAAACTGTCGCAGCTCATTACGAAAATAGCGCTTACTTCCCCTCTATTTAACACCAATTAGATAAGAAAAGAATTCGCACTTGGATACTACCAATTCTTCTCCAATCAAAATCCCAAATTTCGCAGTACCAAAAAATAAATCATTCACCTTGAAATCCCTCAGACTGAACCGCGAAAAATTGCAAAAATTCCTCGTCACATTCGATTTCGTCTTCACCGAGCCAAAAGGAGAGTAAAACGAGCACAGAAGGGGTCAGTATAACCGAAAGATCAAGAGTGCTCGTTGAACGTGAAGAGGAGAGAGTAAGGGAGTAGAAGAGAAGAGGTTGGTCGATTTAGAAGATCCCAGGGCCAGTGGTGAAACCGCGAAGTGGTGCTCAAGAACAAATCGACCGGTCGAGAGGTGGCGGTTTACGATATCCAGAGGCCACTTTTTCTCCCGTTCTCCGGGGGTGGTTTTGCATGGAAGAGAAGGTGGAGAAGGAAGAGAGCACACGGCTCTCGCCCGGCGACGGAGGGGATAAAAAGGTGAAACAAAAAGCCGATTATGTAACCCCGGGGGATGAAATACGGGGTTTGGCAGGAGGTGGAGGGGGCGTAGTGTTGGCCCAGGCACAATAGGGTAATTTTCACGCGAGATTTGGGAGGCGATTTCGCGAGAGAAGGAACGTTGTTGCCGGGGCTAGCATCTTCTTCCACAACCGAGCAGCCTCTGTCCTTTTTCCTGTCCCCTCTTTATTTCGCTAAGCCTTCGTGTCTCTCTGTCTGCTGCTGCTCTCCCCTGCCCGCCACGGTTTTCCCTCGATCGCGCACCGGGTCTTCACGCCGCGCAACCCTCCGGGTCCAGGAACGTGAGATACGGCCGTTGGGGCTATTTCAATGTACCGACGCGTTTGTTATTTCCTACCAGTTTGTTATTCAGAAGCGGCAAGACGAGACTTCAGGACAAATAGCCCTCCTCCTTCTTCTCGTCCGCTCTCCTTCCTTCACCTTTGTCATGCCAACATATTTCTACGAATAACGTATGCTCCGCTGTTTCCTCTCTTATTTCTACGCTTATTATCCCCCTTTCCTTCCACTCCTCCGACTGTACACACGCCATCTTGGTCATCCGTGGAACACTCGCATTCCGAGTATTTTTTGTATTATATTGGAATTGAAGGGAATTGGGGACGATCTTTTGGGGAGTATGTTAATTTTACCGCTTGTTGATAATTCTGCAAATGCAATCTTGCAACGGGGTTGATCTGCCATTTTTTAGTGCAGTATTTCAGAAGGGTGGGAGTTCTGTGGCTCTAACGAAGTAAAGGAAGGTCGATAATTTTGAAGTAGGTTGGTCTAGCTCTGAGATAAAAGCAAGCTGGAAAGAATTACGAACATAAGTGTACTCGTCTTTACTAATTACACATTCGAACGGTAATTCGCGAAGGAAACATAAAATGCAGCCAGGCGCTTGTAAATTGATGCCACGGAAGCGTGCCATATTTTTCTTTCGCATGTAAATTTTTATCGCTGGCATTTATGATAACATTGCAGTTAAATTCGTGTACAACAAGCCATATTTTTTGATAAAAATACCGCGACGATGCGGTTCAACGTGGACCTACATAAAATTCGTATTCGACGTAAGTACGCATGCAACTCCGGCTTAATTTGGACGAAGCTGCTGTAGAAATGGATCTCATCTTATCAGATTACTATCTATGCGTCGTGTCTGGGAAACTTTTCTAACAAAGTTTGAAGACATTCTGTTTATTTCCTCGTCATTTCACCTCCTTGCCTGAAAACTGCTACCTTTCGCATCTCGACGTGTTCATGCGAGAGGGAGGGCGGCTTGTATTGTATAGAAAAAAAAAAAAAAAAAAAAAAAAAAAATAAACAAGTAGTTTCTAAAAAAGAGACAAAAGACACTTTCTCACAGGCCACTGATAAAGTATGATTTTCCAAAGTCAGATGCGATTAGTATACGCCAAAGTATAACGCGATAAAAAAGAAAAAGAATATAAAAATTCTGAATTCGTAATTTTGGGTGAATTAAATTTGACCGAAAAAGCGACGTCGATGAAACTTAATTCGCACGAAACTTCCCGCGTTATAGGAGGTCCTACTGTATCACAAACAATCTGTTAGCATCTTTGTAAGAATGACTTCCAATTTATCCAATCCCACTCGGGATCATTCGAACAAATAATGAAATATCGATGAAATACACGTTTACCTACAGACGGTAAATTTATCATTTTTGCATATCTTACCACGCGAATTTTCCCATCGACGTAACACACTTTATTTACAAGTGTTCTAATTCGCTGCCACGCTTCTACGCGACAAGGTAGCAAGTAATTCGCCGCTAGTGGCAAGTTGGACGGCCAGCGTGAAAGGCGTTATGAGTTCTCATGAAATTTTATAAAATTTTTCCACGTAACCGTGGAATCGTTTCGTGTCGATAACCCCCAAGATATACGATCTTATAAAACCGGATTTCTTCGCGAATACAATTTCGCGCGTAGCTATTGCGTCGAGAGGTATGTTCCCTCCCTTTTTTCTCCACTCGTTGTTCTCACCCCAAAGGCATATCCACCTACTTACGTTGCGTGTCGCCGGTATAAAGATAAAATCACCGATGAAAACAGAGTGACATTCTACTACTTTGACGACTAATAGTCCGAGATACACGAGATCACTTACCTGCAACAGAGAAGAGAAATGTATTATTAGTGCGAGGACCGTAACGATTCGATAATTTTAAATTCTACTGGTCTGTAACAGCCTCGAGACGTAGAATGCACGTATCGGGTGTCCGTGAAATAACTTCCGATGACAGATGGAAACGTTGGAAAGTTCAAGATTTAAGGGTTTCTAATTGGTAACAATCAGACTGCGGATTTTTGTGCGTTTATGGGAAATTCGAAGGTGTAAATTTGCACGGAATGTACGTGATATGAAAAAGTATGCAAATTGTAGCAAATATTTTCTGTGCAAGTACTACTTTTTTTACTATATTCTCAGAAATGTAAATCTGCATAAAAATCTGAAGTCTGATAATTAGTGATAATATCAGTGTGTTTCGCGAATCCTTATCAAGTGAACTGTAATGATTACAAACATTTTTTCGACCATTTTTCTAACGAATAAATTATTCCGAAACGAAGACTGCAAAATTAACGATTTTCGTAAATTTCGGATAATGAAATTATAGAAAATTATTTACGCAAACACAATTTACCTATCTAATGATTAATTTCAAAGAACCACCTTTCACATGCATCAGCCTAACATTTCTTATTAACTTCGCAATTCGAGAAAATTTGAAATGAACAAACAACATTCGTGAAAATTTCGTTCCTCGTTACGGCGAGCACGCGGTTCAATGCAAAGAAAGTTGCGAGATCTGGCAGATTGAAAAGAATGAAAAGATTGAATCGAATACACGTCGCAGAGCGGAGAGTGTTTGTAGAAGAGAAGAGAACGATCAGGAGACAGATGGCAGAGAGAGAGAGAAGGAGACCAGAGTGGAGATTTAGGCGTGTAATTGGCTCAGCTGGTGTTGACGCGATCCTATCATCAATACCTCATCAGCCGTCGCCGGGAAACCTGTATCTTCTCTCTCATCCCTCTCCCTCCCCTCGATATTTCGTTGACTACGTCCCTCAGAATCTGTATCAAGGGTGCAACGAATAATAAATACTTGGGTGAAAATGTCGGAATCGCAAGGAGGTGCTGGTCAGTCTCGAAATCACAATTAATTAGGTAAACTTCCTGTCTTTTTTTTTTTAATTAAAAAATGAAAAAGGAGTTTAATCACTGTCAGGATAAGATTTGAACTGAATTCATTTTCCATCTTCTCAAAGAAACTCAAGTCATTCGGTCCAATTTTAACAAAGTTACAATTTTACAAACTCAGATCAAAAATTTGCAAAAAGTGACCTTCGCTATTTTCTCCGCGATTTCCACAAATTTCAATTTTTTCAAAACATTTTTTCACGTCACCTAGTACACCAATCCTTCCAACTTCTCAGAAAAACTCAAGTCATTCGGTCCAATTTTAACAAAGTTACAATTTTACAAACTCAGATCAAAAATTTGCAAAAAGTGACCTTCGCTATTTTCTCCGCGATTTCCACAAATTTCAATTTTTTCAAAACATTTTTTCACGTCACCTAGTACACCAATCCTTCCAACTTCTCAGAAAAACTCAAGTCATTCGGTCCAATTTTAACAAAGTTACAATTTTACAAACTCAGATCAAAAATTTGCAAAAAGTGACCTTCGCTATTTTCTCCGCGATTTCCACAAATTTCAATTTTTTCAAAACATTTTTTCACGTCACCTAGTACACCAATCCTTCCAACTTCTCAGAAAAACTCAAGTCATTCGGTCCAATTTTAACAAAGTTACAATTTTACAAACTCAGATCAAAAATTTGCAAAAAGTGACCTTCGCTATTTTCTCCGCGATTTCCACAAATTTCAATTTTTTCAAAACATTTTTTCACGTCACCTAGTACACCAATCCTTCCAACTTCTCAGAAAAACTCAAGTCATTCGGTCCAATTTTAACAAAGTTACAATTTTACAAACTCAGATCAAAAATTTGCAAAAAGTGACCTTCGCTATTTTCTCCGCGATTTCCACAAATTTCAATTTTTTCAAAACATTTTTTCACGTCACCTAGTACACCAATCCTTCCAACTTCTCAGAAAAACTCAAGTCATTCGGTCCAATTTTAACAAAGTTACAATTTTACAAACTCAGATCAAAAATTTGCAAAAAGTGACCTTCGCTATTTTCTCCGCGATTTCCACAAATTTCAATTTTTTCAAAACATTTTTTCACGTCACCTAGTACACCAATCCTTCCAACTTCTCAGAAAAACTCAAGTCATTCGGTCCAATTTTAACAAAGTTACAATTTTACAAACTCAGATCAAAAATTTGCAAAAAGTGACCTTCGCTATTTTCTCCGCGATTTCCACAAATTTCAATTTTTTCAAAACATTTTTTCACGTCACCTAGTACACCAATCCTTCCAACTTCTCAGAAAAACTCAAGTCATTCGGTCCAATTTTAACAAAGTTACAATTTTACAAACTCAGATCAAAAATTTGCAAAAAGTGACCTTCGCTATTTTCTCCGCGATTTCCACAAATTTCAATTTTTTCAAAACATTTTTTCACGTCACCTAGTACACCAATCCTTCCAACTTCTCAGAAAAACTCAAGTCATTCGGTCCAATTTTAACAAAGTTACAATTTTACAAACTCAGATCAAAAATTTGCAAAAAGTGACCTTCGCTATTTTCTCCGCGATTTCCACAAATTTCAATTTTTTCAAAACATTTTTTCACGTCACCTAGTACACCAATCCTTCCAACTTCTCAGAAAAACTCAAGTCATTCGGTCCAATTTTAACAAAGTTACAATTTTACAAACTCAGATCAAAAATTTGCAAAAAGTGACCTTCGCTATTTTCTCCGCGATTTCCACAAATTTCAATTTTTTCAAAACATTTTTTCACGTCACCTAGTACACCAATCCTTCCAACTTCTCAGAAAAACTCAAGTCATTCGGTCCAATTTTAACAAAGTTACAATTTTACAAACTCAGATCAAAAATTTGCAAAAAGTGACCTTCGCTATTTTCTCCGCGATTTCCACAAATTTCAATTTTTTCAAAACATTTTTTCACGTCACCTAGTACACCAATCCTTCCAACTTCTCAGAAAAACTCAAGTCATTCGGTCCAATTTTAACAAAGTTACAATTTTACAAACTCAGATCAAAAATTTGCAAAAAGTGACCTTCGCTATTTTCTCCGCGATTTCCACAAATTTCAATTTTTTCAAAACATTTTTTCACGTCACCTAGTACACCAATCCTTCCAACTTCTCAGAAAAACTCAAGTCATTCGGTCCAATTTTAACAAAGTTACAATTTTACAAACTCAGATCAAAAATTTGCAAAAAGTGACCTTCGCTATTTTCTCCGCGATTTCCACAAATTTCAATTTTTTCAAAACATTTTTTCACGTCACCTAGTACACCAATCCTTCCAACTTCTCAGAAAAACTCAAGTCATTCGGTCCAATTTTAACAAAGTTACAATTTTACAAACTCAGATCAAAAATTTGCAAAAAGTGACCTTCGCTATTTTCTCCGCGATTTCCACAAATTTCAATTTTTTCAAAACATTTTTTCACGTCACCTAGTACACCAATCCTTCCAACTTCTCAGAAAAACTCAAGTCATTCGGTCCAAT